ATGCCCTGAGGCTGGAGCCTGGTGGCCAGGAAGACCTCAGGTGGAGCACAGCCTGGGAAAGGCACTGCTCTTAGGCCCAGGTGGGAACCTGGTCTTCAGGAGACCCCTGTGAGTACATTGAGACCTCCCATCTGAGCCCACCTCAGAGTTGTCCTGCTCCCTCCCCGCCCCTCCCCCTGCACAGCTATCCTCTATCCAACCACATCTCACCACGCCACCTCAGCACCTTAAGATAGAATATTTTTTCCCCTTTAAAATTTAATCTTCTTTAAGTAAAAACCCAGCTTTAAACAAGGCAGCCAGGCAACAGACAGGCAGACCTTTGGGTGGTTTTCTGGGTCACTTTCTTCTGTAATGTAAGAGCTTACATGTGAGGAGATAGATGACTGATGACCAAAGAGAAACAGAAACCGAGAGAGAAGTGCCCCCCTTCCTGCCAAGCCCGGGGCCGAAGGAGACAAGGCAAGGCCCTGCCCGGGGCCACTCCAGGCGGCACAGACGCTGGGCGCCCCCTTCTAAACTCCCCGACAGGCTGTGGCGACAGCACATGACGAAGAGACAGAAGAGACTGGCTTCAGTCCAGCTCCGCCACAGACCATGGACCCCGGAACACCAGCACACCCCGAGCCCCTGCTCCCGCGTTGAAAGGAGATGCCCACTCGGTTGGCCCCTTAGGACCACTCTGAGGATAAGCTAAAATAAGGAAAGGACTCTAAAAAGTTGAATGTAGGAAAGTTTAGAATCTCATTAATTCAAACTCTGATTTGGGATTTGTCATAAACCTGTTTTGTTTTGTTTTCATAGCAAATAAAAAATGTGTACCTCCTGAATCTTTACTCGCAGACTTGCAGGGGGAAGGGACTTATTCTTACTCATCATTGCATCTCCAGCAGCCAGCAGTGTCTGGAAGCTTCACTGCGACTCCTTCCAGGTGTCTTCTGTGCATCTGTGTGCATGCGCACGCGCACACACACTCCACTACATCTTACTCTGTAATAGATACAGCTTTTGCAAGTCCATCAGGGAAGACAGTAAACACAGGAGGGTGTGGTAGAGAGGCTACAGAGGGGCTGTAATGCCAGGTCATTCACAGTCGAATGTAAACGGACAGTCCAGGGATGCTGAAGAAATGGGGCACATACCAAGGAGACTTGATCGAGAAATAACCTCCTGTTTCTGGACTCTTCTAATCATTTAATGGAACAAGTACCAACTTCAGCAGACCTGATAGAGTCTGCGATGAAACGGGCTAATTTGCTCATCTGCTGGGGCTTTCTCATCCCTGGGAGAGCTGCAGCCCTGGATGAGCACACTGCAGGGCCGCTGGGGTGGAGCCACGAGCAAGCGGAGATGGTCATGGCCTCAGGACGGTGGTTCAGAACACCGAACCTGGCTTCTAGACCTTGGTTTGTGAAATAACTGAAGAACCTCTAGCAAGTTGCTTAACTTCTTCAAGTTTGTTTCGTCAGCTCTACAGTTCACTTAATACCTCTTCCCAAGATTGTCAAAGGAATTAGAAAGAAGGCATGCAGAGTCCTTTTGCAAAAGCCTGTGGGCACTTGGCCACTTTAGCTGTTAGTATTGTCATTATTGCTTGGTCTTTGATTTTGGAAAGGGAAGGTTACCCCAAGCCTACCAGAGGAAGAGCATTCCAGGCTGCGATTCAAGGCAGGAATAGGATCTTCTCAACGTTTCTTGTTGGCAGGTAGCACAGGATTGGCAGGAAGGTGTTCAGGAAGTGTTTAGTGAAAAGAACTACATGACCTTGAGCAAGTTACTCAAAGAGCATCCTGTTTTCTCACCACCCCCCACCCCCCGCCAGAGAAAGCTTTCACTCATGGGAAGCTGTGAGAGTCTGGGAGCACCTACAATGGTGCTTGTGCAAAGAGCATCAAGAAAGACCAGTCAAAACCGTAGTTTGCTGTACCCAGACACTAAGAACTCAGAATATTCATTCAAGGGCACAGGCAGTTGCCGGGTTAATATCTTCTGTTGGGTACTTCCAGATGGAGATGGTGCCTCTTGTTGTTGCCTGCAGGAGTTGAGAAGATACACTCTCCTCCTGATTACCTTGTCATACCATTGATGGGATTTGAGAATTACACTCCAATTGAATTACAGAGATTTAATTTCAGTGGTGTTAAAGAGGAAAGACAAAGTTAACAGGCATTAAATTAAAACCATGCACTTTTGCCAAGACATCCCTACCCCCACCTGGCCCCGGGGACTTACTTCCTTCCTCTAGTCCCCAAAGAGATTAATGCTCTTTACCAGATTTTCTAAACTGAAACAGAGCAGCCCTTCTTATCTCAGTGCTTCCACGAGGTGCAGATGAGAACAGAGCAGAACCCCAAGAAAATACCAGCTCTGCTGGGCGGTGGGGGGGTGAGCTCAGTTGCCACAAGCGTGGGGTTGCCCCATAATATCCTACCTCAACTGTGTGTCTGCCATCAGTTCCTGGGCTGCTCGATTTCTGAGCCTTCACATGCTCCTCCTTGGTGTGCTTTGCAGCCCTGTCATTTCCCAAAATCCTACTCCTGGAAAAGGATTAGCAAAATTACACAGTGTTGCTGCTACTTAACATTCAGGAAATGCAGCACACACACACAAGTTACCAATCATGCTCACCAGATGGCAAATGTAGCTCTTTTCACCAGAAAGTGAGCAGCGAACATTCAAATTCATCACCAATACAACATTTAAATGCACATCCATTTTCAATTTGATATCTTTGATGGGTTGGTATAATGAAAAGCAATATTTTATCCCTATATTGTTAACTATTTGTAACAGTTACAATAATGCAGACTTGAGATTTTTTAAAAGTTGTCCTTAAACAAATCTCACTATAACTTGCAATTTTGATACACGCTGTACCTATCTGTTTTTAATACCTCAGAGTTCTGTATTCAGAATGGGCTATTGGGAATGGCACAGGGTAGGAAGACTAAGAATCTAGCAGCTGATGTTGGGGTCTGTGTATTTTTTTTAACACCACTGCTTAAGTTTAGTGGTTATCTTTTATTAGTTTCTAAAAAACTTGAAGATCGATTAGTCTCTCTTATTGGACTGTATTACGAGACAGGAGTTGAGAGCCAGGGAGCCCTGTCTCCTGAGTTTCAAGTATAAATTTCTGCCCATCTAATGTTCCCTAAAGTTCTCAGAGTTTTGGCCTTGGCTGGTTATCAACTAATTAAATGCCATCCCTGGCTCATTCCGTTTCTCTGCACTTAAGAGTGAAGAGTGGTTGTTATGAGCTGATTGTGTACTTCCCCCAAAATCCATGTTGAAGTCCTAACCTCTAGGACCTCAGGTTGTGACTGTGTTTGGAGATAGGACCTTTGAGAAGGTAATTAAGGTAAAATGAGGTCATATGAATGGGCCTGAATTCAATATGACTGGTGTCCGTATAAGAAGAGACTAGGACACAGACAACACACAGGGGCGACCATGTAAGGACACAGCAAGGCAGCCGTCTACAAGCCAAGAGGCTTCAGAAGAAACCAAACCTGTTGACACCTTGATTTTGGATTTAGGCTCCAAAGATGTTAGAAAATAAATTTCCCTTGCTTAAGCCCCTTAGTCTGTGGTATTTTGTTACGGCAGCCCTAGGAAATACGGTGGTCCAGACTGGAGGAAAATGTATGTAATGTAGAATTTACCTTATACATTTCTCTGTAACACAGACACTGTGTTATTAATCAGGGCTTGTTATTCTAAGTAACGGAAATCAAATCCAGCCAACTTAAGCACACATAAGGAATGCATCCTAAGGATACAGTGGTAGCTCGCGACACTGGAGGGACACAGCTGGCCTCAGAAATGCACTGGATCCAGGGCCTGGAGTGCTGTCAAGATTCTGTTTTCATCTCTGCTTTTCATGGTGTATCTGCTTCAGTTTTCTAATCTATCCCAATTTCGGATTCCTGGGGAAGAGACTCACTGGCCCAGCTTGAGTGAGGGACTCACCCCTCGCCCCGTGGTCCTGCTAAGAGGCGGCAGGGTCACAGGGCACACATCAGCTGTCAGGGCCCTGCGGGGAGGAGGCATTCTCAGGAAAGAAGAGCTCATCAGACTGTGGAATAAGTCCTCCATTCCAGGGAGGGTCTGTCCCCTCTCAAGGGCAATGGGGAGGCAAATATCTGAGGTTTCGTGTGCTACAGCAGAATGGCCAGTGTGTTAACAGTTTGGTTATAAACAGCAAAATCAAAGCAAGAGCAGACTGAGACCTCATCCAGACCCAGAACTGCTTGCAACTTATGGCTGTTTCCCAACTGAGGAGAGACAAAAAAGAGACACCAAGGATGTTGACAAAATATGTGCACCCATCAGCTAGAAGAAGTTGGTGACCCATTGAAATTCCATTATACAAATGGTGCAGAATGCTTATAACCCCAAAAATAATGTGCAAGGAAACACAACATAAACCCAGACTGGTCTCTGGTTTTATATGCATCTGGGGAGCCTATATCATTACTCTTGGAGAAGAAGAGGGGGAAAAGGATTAAACAATGCTTACTGATCTGGAGAAGACACAAGTATAGAAAATACAGGAAGGATAAACTTCCAAATAAATCAAAATCAGACAAAAATGGTGACCAGTCTGAATGAGCCTGGGAAAGAGCACCCTCACAGCTGCCATGCACCCTGTTTTTGCTGTTACCCCCTCCTCTTCTTCTACCTGGTCCCCAGGCCCGAAGGCCCCACTTAGGCTCTGTCTCCTCCACAATACATTCCCTGACAACCACACGATTTGGCATTTTCTCTTTCTGAAACTGTTCTGTGGACACTGTGTCCCCATGTACCTGACACCTCCTAGGGGTGAGGCCCATGTGAAAGGCTCTTCCCCACTTTGTCTTACAGGGCCTCATACACCTCTCGTGAACATCTGTTGCCTGACTAGTTGTCACCGGTTGAACAGAAAATGGTCAGAAATCCACTTGCTGGGCACACACACACATACAAAAAACCAGATTAGAGAAGGAACAAATATCCAGGTATATTCCTTTGAAGATAAAAACTTTATTTTACAATTTTATAAAGCAGCTTTACATGAAGCACAAACAATCCATTTACTTTGTATAGAAACAAAATACCTTTCCATCTGCAAAAAATCAAGTTTTGCTGTATAGAAAACTAGCATGTGCACATTGTGCTTAAACCGCAAAGTCTGTACAACTTTACAAAGGACCACCCTTCAGCAGGGCATCCAGTAAACACTTTATTGCATATTTGACACATGGTCTCTAACCCACATGTGCAACGGAGGAGAAACAAGAACAACAACTGCAACAAGGAAGAAAACAGCAGCTTTCAGCGAGAGTCCGCACCTGGCGGAGGAAAGGACTGCCACATCTGGAGAGCTGTGCTTGTGCCGTTTCTGTATCTGCTCACGTACACTGGATGGTTTTTGGATGAAGCCTTTATGTACAACAATCCCAAAGGGTCAAACTTGACCTTCATCTGGAAACTTTGGGCTGGCTTTACAACTGAAGTGGCAACAGATTTAATTTGACATCAAAGCTAACTCAAGTGTGAAAAACGAATACCCATTATCTGGAAACAAAGAAAAATTTAAAGAAACAAAACAAAATAAAACTTTAAAATACCTTCCCCATTCTCTCTACGCTCAGAATAAGTAAACATTTTACATGATTTAAAAACCTATAAAGAACGCTGTAGGTGTTTCGGAACAAAAATGCGATTGATGGTCTTGGGCAGTGTTCCTCCACGTCTGCCCCGCAGATCACCTGCACCAGAAAGATCCGAATGCTTGTTAAAAATGCAGACTATCCTGCTTCCCAGGCAGACTTAGTGACTCTGTAGCTCAGGAAGCTCCCAGGTGATTCGGAGGCACCCGAAAGCTGGAGAACCACTGGTGTACGCTGGCGGAGCTGCCACAGCTGCCACAGGTTCAACTCATCCTCTTAGAAAAATCTGGGATCACAAGAAAAATCAAGTTGCTGTTGCAACGTGGAAGGCAGTGTGAAACCAACAGCAGTGAAACAGCAATGTCATTTCTAGATCAAAATGTCTTTCCTTTTTCAGTGGAAAAGGACAGCCACATTGTTAAGGCACTGATATTTGTCTCGGAAGCAGTACCGTGCTGTTTTCGTGGATTCCCTTAGTCTAAGGACCAGTATGCAAACACAAGGCAGAAGTCTGGACTGCTCTCAGTAATAACAAGTGAGATGAAGAGCAAAGGGTTTCCCGATTGGAGAAAGTTTATGTTGGGGCACTGAAATAAAAAAAGGAGTCCAGATATTCTTGTGGAGACATCTAATCATGTCTAAGAACGATAAAGGTCAAAAGCCAGGGGGAAGCTTAATAACCCACAACTGTCGTGTTGTGGGAGGAAGAGAGTTGTGGTCACGTAACGTGGGAGTTTAAGCTTCCTTCTCCGTGGCCGGTTTACTACTGTCTTCAGTGTACATCTATATTGTCTTCTCTGCTCCTGCTCCCTTTGCCACTAATATATATATTTTGCATGTTTATTCTATTCATAGATGTGTATATAGTTTCTGGTTTCTAAGTAGTGTCGGGAGGCTGAGTTCGATTTAAGATGCAGTATGTAGGCAAGTGCCCACGTGGCTCTTGATGTGCATTTAATACAGGTCACAGACAAACTGCAATGTGTTTGTCAGACTCAGTCTCCTGAAAGTGTGGGGTCTCATATTTCAATCTGTATAAGTTACAGTATTCATTTAGTGTACTGTCATACATTCAACAAAAACAACAAAATCAACCTCGCTTGATTTTGATAATGCCTAAAGCCCTATAGCAGACACTGCCCAGGGTACAAGGGTTGTGAAACCTATTTATGTGAGGTAAGGTATAGTGGGATAGAAAACCCAAATAAAGGTCTGGTTACACATGTACAGCAAACGTGGTAGCATCAATCACTTCTATCCAAGAGCTGAAATAATTTAAAATTAAAATTGCAAAGGAAAAACACTCATGTGCAGAGTCAATGGTCTGGAAAGTTGATGACCAAGAATGATCCAAAAGTAGGGAAAAAACCTGCCATGATTCTTGTATGTAATATCTGACGTAGTATTTTTCTTTAAAGAGGGGGGAAAAAAATCCTGAAATGGTAGTGGGAATGGATTAGCCCCTTCCTCCAATAAAATTTCCACAATGTCCCAAAAATGTCCCCCAAAATAGACAAAACTCTCAAGTATAGTCTGAAATGAAATACAGAATTCTAGACAGTGACAAAAAGAAACCATCACAGCGGGGGTGGGGAGGGATCGGCTGATTATCAAATCTTTACTGATTGTAGATCAAGTTTCATAAAACATAACGTTTTTGTGATTTCTTGTGCAGTCAACAAGTTTTGTTTTAGTTGTGCTTACGTTATATAACTGTGAAGCCTGAACACTGGTTGTGTTTTTAATTTACACATTTCAAGAAAACCGTACATTCAAAATATTCTCCATATATAACAAATTCAAGAAACGCAACACGAAATTCGCCAAGAAATTAATCTGTAGAAAAGAAACATCATTTTAAAAAGTTGCACACAGTCCACTATTCAGGCTGCGAGTACACATTTACTGTATTACAGCACATTATTTTTTTAAAGTTTGTTTCCAACATAAACATAAATCATCACATTTTAAAAGAGACCCATACTAAGTTTTCAGGTAAGTGCCGGACAGTTGGCCAGAAACAGCTACTTACCAGTGTCTTCCCCAGACCCAGAGGGACTGGACTGTCTGTGGAACTGTAGACGCTATGTAATAAGCAAGGCAAAGTTAAACATCTCTGTTCAGCCATCGACTAAACACTTTTCTGCTCCAAGTGCTACCTATGTTTTGAAACACCCAACCCATAGAATGCAATTATCTCAGAAGACTGGTTTATCACTTCGATGTAATCCACAAAAACCTAGTATACCACCTTTTAAAACGTGCCTAAGCTCTGCTGAGATAGAGCCGATGGTTTTTGTGTACGGCAGAGGCTGAAAGACGATTTTGGTTCTGAGCTCTAGTTGTGCTTTGCCCTGCTGCCTTTAAGGTAGCTTTTCCACCTCTTGACAAATTCTTTGAAGATTGGGGACTCATCGATGGTGCTGAGTAGCTGCAGCTGATTGATGTGGGTGGTGTGGTAGTCCCAGCGGGCCAGGTTGGGGGCAATGCCAAGCATGAAGTGGCGGAGGTCATAGATGGTCCCTGAGCCAGTGTCATACAAGGGGAGCATGGCTTTAAGAGATTCCATGCCTCGCTCGTACAAGGACCTTGCTTCTTTCCCAAGTTTTTCCCCTGCAGTTTCTTTTAAGTCATACAGCCCAATTAAAGAATACATAAAGCCATTTAAAACGAAAGAGCTAGGTGTGGTTGGATATTCTTCATACCAGTCGTGTTTATTCATAAACACAGCCTTAACTCCATGCTGCTCTGACAGAAACTTGTAAGGGGCTGTTGCCCTTAAAGCTGAACTGAGGAATAAATGGTCTTTTGTCAACAGATAGGCCCTGACTAATGTAGAAATGGCTTGCCCTTGGGCCATGGCAGAGTACCACCCTGGCTCTAAAGACTTGAACCCCTCTCCTAACTTACGGGTCACCATAATTGGCCAGCCACCTTTCTCATCCTGGTTCCTTACCAGCCAATCACTGGCAGCAAAGAACGCGGCCATGTGGGCTGTGGTGGAGATGGTAATGTTGTCGAGGAATCCTTTCCCTTTTGCAATCAACCTAACTACCTTTCTGGGCATTATTTTGGTTGGCTTGACAGCTTTTGTGTTGGAAAGACCCACTCCTTTCCTGAGGTCAGTGACCAGGTCCCTTGTAACCGTGCTCCATGAAGTTCTAGGCCCAATGCCATAGTATATGTCTCTTTCTTTAAAAGCAATTAGTTGGGCATTTGAGACATAATGTACAGTGAAGAGCTGATTTTTTTCTGTGGTCTCTAGAACCACGGACACACTTCCATTTGTCAAGAACTTGAGGTCAAATGAAATAATAAAATCTTTTGTGTTCCCCAGTTGCAAGGATACACCTTCACTGGTTTCTGTAGGGGAAAAACATACCAACAAAGGCTAGTTAAAAGAAAAGCTCTTTGTATTAAAAGTTAATTGCAATTCATCTTTGATAACCACTAGCCACACAAAATTAACACTTCAATATTTTGTGTCCTATCATCATCATCATCATCATTTTACTAAAGTAACCATAAACAAATGATAGAATTGATGAGTCCATAATGGCTTTCAAGCATCAGGCCTAATTTACATTAGAGGGCTAAGAGCAAATGGATAAGATACTGTTGATCAAACTGCCTTTTCTAGATCAAATGCTAGCTGATCAATAATCAATGACTGTTCTAATATATCCATTTTATAAAAAGAAAAAAAAAACCAAAATTGGCTCAGCACATTTTGTGAGAAGCTAGATTACACATGAATTAAATTTTTTTATTTAATTAACATTTAGTAGATATTTACTATGTTCTAATTTATATATTATATTAACTCACATTAACTCATTTATTCCTCATATTAACTCTATTTTAATCCTCATAACAATTACAAGAGTAGTGCTATTATTACTCTTACCCAATGGCTGACAAACTGAGACACAGGGAATTTAAGATACAAAATGCTGAACCTAGGTTGCCTAGTCTGGCTCCACAATACACACTTTTTTTTTTAAGTTTGTTTACTTTTTTTGTAATCTCTATGCCCAATGTGGGGCTTGAACTCCTGACTCCAAGATCAAGAGTTGCACACTCTCCCGGCTGAGCCAGCCAGGCACCCCTCCACAATACACTCTTAATTACTAAATGATGCTGAAAATGATCAGTTTGTTTTCAGATATTTGCTGGAATTGTGAATAAAATTTCTGAAAATTAAGTAATGGGCTCAGGTAGTCAACAAGAAGTGATGGATACTGGGGGAGGATGAGGGAGAAGCATAGGCTTTGGAGTTAAAAAAAAAAAAAAAAAAGCCCAAACCCCACAAAACCTTGTTTGAATTGTTTCTCTTCTACTTCCTAGCTTTGAGATGTTCAAGATGAAATAGCTCTTTGAACTTGTTTCTTCACATGTTAAATAGAGATAATATTACTTTGTAAGGTAATTGGGAGGGTTAAAAAAAAGACAGTGGCTTAGAACAAAGTGAACATTGATAGCAATTATGATTATTATTATTCTGAAGCCATTGGCTTTCAGAGACTGATAAAATAGTAACAGCTGTTTTGTCTGGCAAATTACCAAATAGGAAATCTCTCTTGCATATCTATAGTACAATGATGGTGGGTTCCCAGAAAGCTGACTTTCTGAATACTGCTGGTCTAGATATACCAAGAAAAGAAACAGAGCGTATTACAACCTATCAGCAGCAGCAGCAGCAAGAACAACAACAACAAATAGGTAGTGCATATTTTATATATAACCTTAAAGGTAAATATGCCTTGATCTCTATGAAACTTACATTTTCGAAACACATTCTCATGTGTTATCGCGAATGATCCTTACAATAATCTGAGGCTGGTAGAGCAGGAATTACTACTTCCATTTTAGAGATGAAGATATGGAAGCTTTGCAAGGTTAAAAGGTTTGCCCCAACTAGTGGTAGAGTAGGGACCAGAAACCAGGATTCCTGGACCCAAGTTCAAAGACTGTGAAAAAGAAATGATACTGGATATGGCATTCTAATGAGCATAATCGGTGGAAGAGTTATTTCTCTTAAACATAGCCACAGAATCACATCCACTTTGAGGAGTTCTCGAGGAAATCTTCAGTGTGTCACCAGGAGCAAGGACGAAATGTGGACTGATGATAGTGTATACAGTGTGATTAACTTGGAGAGTCTTAGCATGTTGAGTTGGCTGTTCAACTCCCCCAGCACTGGACTCTACCAGTGTGGGATATAATTGATCCAAGGTCCTTAATGATTCCATTTGATGGAACAATCATGGAAGTGGTATAAGGAATGAGAACATCTTGATAGATTTACACATCAAATGATGCTTTGAGTGACTTTTTAAAAAGTGATTTCAGAAGCATACTTCTAATAAAAATCCATTTTATCTGGAAAAATGTCAACATGCAATCTCTTAACTAGCATTTTCCTACATCTATGGTAAAATGGAATCTGACGCTCAATACAACATTTCTGAAACACTGCAGGATTCTGAATTGACTGATGAATCGCTCAAGTTTCAATTATATTCAGTAGAGAAGGCTATCTTGAGTGTTCCTTATTTTTTCATTCTTAGGGTAATGCCTCATTAATAAGGCAATATTACTAACCATGACATCCATTCTCACGAAACTGGGTAACAGTGATCCAACTTTATTAGTCCAAATGGGAGGAAGCTGAACCTATTTTCCTCCCAGAATTCCATTCTAATTCACTTTATGAATACAAATCTATGAAATGATATGGTCTCAATTACCTTATGTTTCACTATAACAGATTAGTTCAAAGAACTCAGTAATAAATTATGTCATGGGATATAACCTTTCAAAAAAACTATTTTCCTAAAACTCCATCACCACCAGAGGGGGTTACTGAGCCACACAGGAGAAGAGACAAAGTCCCAATTCCCGACATGAATCAACCAACAGACAATCGTAGTCTTCACAACAATCCTGTAAGTCTTTTAATTTCCATTTTCTAGATATACAGAGTAGTTAAAGTAGTCAGCATTGCTCAGAAGGATCCAAATGGTAGCAAATGGGATGTGAGTGTGGTTGTGGCAACCACTTTGGAAATGCAGCGGGCAAGGTCTGAGCTCTACTGAAGGTATTATGCTATCTGGAGACCCCTGCTTTAAATCTATTAGTAGAAAGTTTTGGGTTTTCCAGTTTTTGAAATCCATGACTCCTTTTCTCTCTGAGCAGTTAAACCTGGTAGTCACTACAAGAGTTTATTCTTGGCATATGTGGTAGTGTATATGTTCCTTTAGGTAACAAAGGACGATAAACATTTAAGGACAGTCTTTAAATCAATGTTTTCACCTGTAACACAAACCATTATTATTCATTCGTTTTAATCAACAGGTTTACTGGGTGCAGTGAGAAGTCCTCCTTACTCAGAACCTTGAGGAATACCAAGCGATAAGGGCCAGGCAAAAGAAGAGAAGCTCACAAGAAGTCTGAGAAAGAATGGCTACACAGAGATAGGGGAGAAAGTGAGGTCATGCAAATGAAGTGGAGAGAGTGCTTCCAGAAAGGGAAAGCTAATTTAATTTAATAGAGTACGACAGGTATAAAGTTTCAGTTCATTCAATTTTAAAATTAGGCAGAGGAACAAAACATTATTCAACAAACAAAAGAATAAAAATACGATGCAGACCCATGTTCTGGTTCTTTCTTCTAGACAACTTAATTTCCTTTCAGGGAAAACAATTCAGACCCAAAAAGAAAAGAAAAAATAAAAGGCCAACAGCATTTGTCCCCTGGTCCTCCAGAGACTCACTTCATTGAGGCCTATGCTTTTATATACAGTTGCAATTTCTTCTCAACAGCGATTCTCTGAATTTATCTCCCATGAAGTCTACATCCTCTGAAAAGCCTCATCTTCCCATATCTGTCTTCAATACAACAATCTCACCTCTTTGATCCCCTTCTCCTGCTCTGAGCAACAACTCCCATGTAATTCCAACTCACTTGCCCTCAAACACTTGGATCAAATGCACCTCTAGGCATGCCCAAGATATCAAAACAAGCACCCCATTCCCAGTTAGCACACTCCCACCAATAGTAGTTGTAGATGCAGTAGTTTTATCTCCATGGGCTGCAGAATGAAGAGGTAAAGTAAGGGTCCCTCACGTAGTATGAGGAGACTTATCTTTTGTATTACCCAGGGCATCCAGAAGTGCACAATGAAATCTATTGCTTTAAATAGGATAGAGTTCAAAGAACTGTTCTAGAAAACTTGCCAGCATTTGAGGAGATCAAGATTAGGACTGCTGTTTTCTACCCTAATCCAGACAACATTATTGATTAGTGCAAAAATAAGCTCCTTGGGTACAAACAAATGTCCTTTTGCAAAGTCTAATCATGTTCTGCTACAATAATCTCTTAGGTATCACAAGCTACATATTCTTAAACATCTCAACATACTTTCTCACCAGTCAAGCAAAGAGGCTCTATGTACTGGAATATCACAGAATACCACAGGAGAAAAGAAGTTCTAGTCACAGAATAAAAACTAAAGGTCACCCATTATTTGCACTGCATTAAGCACTCATAAATCTATTACTTAAGGCCATCTAGAATGAGTAGATTTGTATTGTGGCTTTCAAGGTCTGTGAATTACACGGTCATCAATAAAGGACAAGGAGAGAATACAGAAGAGGTCTTATAACCTTTTCTCTCATTTTATTTACCGACTGAAAGGTTGGGGGTGGGGCGGAAGGAGTTCTGTTCTTGACAACATTTCCCCATAGAGAATTAAGCCTGAGGTGCTAACTAAAATTATTTCATTGTCTTTTTAAGTAATGGACTCATTAATTCTCATGGATATTGATCAGTGGAGAAAAATATATTACAAGCTAATTAATGAGACTGTCTTACTAAAAGGGGAAATGTTGCATAAAGTTAATTTGATTTTATAAATGATTTTATTAATGAAATGGTTTTATATGAAGTTTGAGACAGACAATCTACTGCATTAACAAAACTCAATATGAGAAGCAGGCCTGGTTGCTAATGCTGTAATATCTTGAAAAAATAAAAAGCTGCTGGTAAAAAAACAGGCAAAGGAAAGGATGGTATGCCCTATAAAGAATTTCTACCTTAAGGCAAAATAGTTTAAAAGTTAAAGAATTAAATACTGTACTGAAATACTAAAATGAACTAAGGAGCACCATTCCTATGGGACACAGATCCCCGGAAGGAGATCTAAATATTCAATCTATGGTTTGGCTTTTCACACAGTATTTTTTTTTATAACCTTGGATTTTTAGCTGTTCTTTTTCTAGGGATTTCACTTGGGCGACACCATTTGTTTCTTTATATAGATATAAAGGGTCTGCTAATGTGCTTTTTAAAACCATAAAAACAATTTTAAGGGAGTATCAGGTGCCATAAATCAACATAAAATTAGCAGGCACATATAATAATACCTCACTTACCTGGAGCAATGAACTGTTTAACATTGGTGAATCTAGACTTATCAGCCACACTAGCCATAAAGCACCCCTTTGGCACGGTCCAGTCATTAGGCTTGCTGTTTCTGTCCCTGTCTTCTGCTGTTTCATATACCTCTATGTGAGGGGGTTTCTCAGTTAGATTCTTGCTGTAATGACTTAACCCATACTGTGCAATCTGGATTGGGTAGAAATAGCCTTGAGGTCCCCACTGTGTAGATAAAGGTACACCTATAAAATAGAGAAACAAAATAAATAACCATGTCTGGACACTTACAAGTGTATTCTGAACACCACTCTTTACTGTTTTACCTCTGGGGCATGTTATAGGCTTATCTGCAACTTTTAAGCTTCTGTATTATACCGTTTTCATAATTACTTAAAAAAAACTAGTACTAAATTAATCAGATATGAAAAACAAAATGAAGGTTTTTTTCACTCTCATTCAGTATCTGTTAACAGCAATGCAATGTTGTAGATTATCTTTTAAGGACTGACTTTTTACGTGTAACTTTTGCTCATAGCTATAGATGTCCTGTTTCATAACCCTGTTTCATACATTCAAATTTTGTACAATTTAAATACACATAGATAATGTTACCACAGGTTCATCCTAAAATATTAATCATGAAATTTTCTTAAATGTTTGTATTAACATTCAAGTTAATTACATACTCCTCTCTCTCTCTCCAAAGTCAAGATGTGGTCTAATACATATACCATGTGATGGCTAAAGTATTTGCTTAAGGAGCCAGTTATAACTAGGCAACTTAAAGTATAAACACAGCTTGCAATTCTTTTTCATATCCTTTATGTCAAAATAGAATTCTTGAGAACAAGGTATGTTTTTTAATGAATTAAAATTGCACATTTAACCATAGATTTTTGACATAATTCATTAATGGATTACCCCTTTAAGGTTCTAAGCAAAACTTTTAAATGTTTGGTATTAGTGTTTTAGTAATTTTCTATATGGGAAATACAATAATATTACATTGCACAGAATATTGTATTGTTGCATCATGGTCTATGGGCTGAGAGATAAGCTCCTCTCTGTAGTTCTAAAATAAATCTACAAGCATCAGATAGGCACAGCAGAAGCTAAAACCTACAAAACCATGTGTGTGATGTAGTTTCAAAACAGTTTAAGGATTTAGGAACCATAAGGGCTAAGAAACCTAGGCTACAGATAAGCTCTTGACTTGTATTTTTTTCTCCAAGGGCAGGCTCCCCCCCCACTCCATTCAAATAGAATTATTTTCACTTAATAAAAGGAAGGTTTATACAGGATCTCATTAAAGATGGGTGATAACTGTAACAATGTGCGACCAGCATAAGAATCGACAGACTGATCAATGAACAAGAATAGTAGGCCAGAAACTTATTCTGCTATTCAAAATGGCTTAATGTAACGATAAAGACTGCATCATGAATCATTGGGGAAAAAAGATCATTCAATACATGTGAAAGGAAAAATCTGAAATTATACCCTGACCTTGTACCCTTTACCAAAATATAAATCAATCTGGCTAGCCTAAAGACTTGAATGTAAAAAAAACACAACCCTAATAAAACTACTAGAGAAAATACAGGTGAATAGCCAATCATCATGTGGCAATGACTTTCTAAGCATAAAAGAAGTAAAAAAAAAAAATTTAAGAAGTCTGTAAGTTCAGTAAATAGAACTAAAAACTACTAAAACTAACAAATCATAAGTAAAATGAAAGACAACCAAACTGAAGAAAATCTTTAACAAATGCAGCAAAGTATCATTATCCTTACTATAAATAGAAAAGTTCACATGAATATTTAAAGAACCCACTAATCACATTAGAAAAAGGGGAAATAAGATCAAGATTTTATGATGATTAGAAGCATATGAAAAGTGTATGTGGCCTCACTGATGGTTATAGAAAGCGAATGAGATCCCTTTGTAAACAACAGATTAAAAAAACAATGTTCCATGACAGCAAGAGTGGGGTGACAAGAGCACCCTTCCTGGAGGCACAAGTAGGTTCAACCTTTTTGGAAAGCAGTTTAGCAAAATAGATCAATTTATATTATTTGACACGGCAGTTTATAGATCAATTTATATTATTTGACACGGCAGTTTATTTCCTAGGAAACTACTCCTAGACTATAATTAAAATAGCAAATGATGAACTATGAATATCTATACCATTACATGTAAAAGCAAAAAACTGGAAATGACCTAAGTAGCCAACTAAAGAGAAAGGCTGCAAGTATTACACGTACCATGGCATATTCTTACTATGAATACTAGTCATTAAAATAGTCAATAAATATTCAATAACAAGGGGAAATAATCAAGATAGTTTAGATGAAAAAAGAATATAAATTGACCATACAGTATGATCCCAACTTGTTTAAAAAATGTGTCTCTACAACAACAAAAAGATTGGAAAAACATATCAAAATATTATTTAACAAAGGTTATGGGTACTTTTTACTTTTTCTTTAGCATCTAAACATCTTATACATTTTATACAACATATAAACATTTTATACATTTTATAAAATTTATGTGAAAAGGTTTGGTGATGGCTGAGTATAGTATATAAGTATTACAATGTTGTATAAGTATCATTTCAACTATGTTAAGACATAGGCCTACATACAAAGACGTGCAGAGAATATACAAAAATGGTAATAATTATCTTGAAGCGGGATGAATATAAGTGAATTTGGCCCTTCCTTCTTGTGAACATTTGGTAGAGATATTATAAAAAACTTAAAATATTAAGATATTGAAATCACTTTTTATAGAATGAGGAAAATAAAATAAAATTTAAACTAAGCAATCTTAAAACACACTAAGCTCTTTCCTTTGGTTAAATGATATATTTTAAAGTCAAATTCAATTTGGCTTTCTGATCAATCTTAGGTTTGAAATACAAATTCTAAAATGTACTGATTATACCCATAAGATTTGAAAGACAATATATAATAGACTATAGGAGTGTAGTATAAAAGGTCAGAGAAAATGGTGCCTATGTGTTATCTTGTTCTGAGGACTTTAAACCTCCATCCAGAAATGATACTTGGCTAATGTGGTAGCAAGACTGCATTGGTACACAATCCAATTGGTCCACTGGTCTCTCCCGTTCCCATCTCCTCTCATAGGACAATAACTATATTTTAATGCAAAATTTTTGGAGATGCTGTGCCTTTACCTTACCGGTGAGAATTTCAGATGCTGAGGCAGGTTAATGAAATAATCCTATTTGATCAGGCATGATCTTCTTGCAGCCCTTAAATCACATCATCCAGAAAACTGCCCCAGGTTCAGACTTCACCTGTTCCTTCTTGCTAAGTCAGAGTGACAAATGGTCTCTTGATAGTAAGCTATGTATGTACTTGCTAGATAATTAACACCTACAACTTGTTACTCCTCAACACAATCAGGATAGAAAAATGCAGTGGAGCAGGCAGATACCAACCTTCAACCCCACTTATGCACTTGACTCTGTCCCGGACTTCCACATTGTAGCCTTCAAAGGACATAAACACACCATCAGGGTGATACGGGGCTCTCTGTGCATAGACTTTGGAATAGCTATGAGAGAATTCAAACCGATCATAGCCATCATATTGAACCACCTTTCCATATACATCAAAATATTTCTCTACCCAAGTGAATGGAAGAAAGACTTCATTTCCCTCTCGTCTCCCTTTAATTGTGTGTTCATCATTTATGAGACAGTCAATTTCTTCATATTTGAGCCCTAACACCTTGCTTCCCCCATTGCTGTTGAAGCTCCCAACAACAGGGGGTGCTTTCTGCTGTTCCTGAGGGAATGCCTCCTCAGACTGTTTGGCCATGTGGTTCACATAGTTGTTACTCTCAGATGCTGCTGCTCTTTTTTCTAATCCATCCACTCTGAAGCCACTACTCAAGTGCCGTGGAAACTGGATCGCTTTATCGCTGGAACATTTATTCCACAAAAGTACTGTGACCAAAGTGAAGAGTGTGCAGATGATAATCAGAGTCTTATAGTTGACCCGAGCTGCCAAGCAACGCATATTCAGACCATACCTATGGAGGCAAGAAGAAAAATTCATGCAAAGATGTATTGCAGACATTTCATAGGATAAGGTTTTATTTTTTTTATATTGAACCACACTAAGGCAATTTTATTCACTGTAGCAATCTGATCAGATTTAAAATTACTAACTCAAACTTTTCGGCAGAGACAAAGAAAAGGCAAGAGGAGCTTCCCCCTCTTAAAATACTTAGTGTGACCCTTTAAAACAGATATTCTCAAACTTTCTGTTTGTGACTCTCTTGGTGTCTTAGTAATTGTTTCAAAGTCTCTGGGCCAAAAGAAATACCTAATAGTTTCATTTATTAAGTAGTTGGGTCCAAACAACTTAATGCATTATTTTTGTTCCAACAAGTTAGCTGTTTGAAAAAACATAATGGGTATTGTTACGGTAAACACTGACATCCATGTTGCCAAATCCAACCGTGAATCTTTAGTGCTCATCCTACTTGACTTCTCAGCAGCATAAATAGTCAATGACTCTTTCCTACTGGAAACACTTTCTTCTCATGGCTTCCAGGGCACCATCTTCTTGTGGTTCTCCTTATACGTCACTGGCTACTCCTCCTCAGTCATCTCTGATCATTCTTTCTCATCCCCCTGACCCTGAAGTGTTAGCGTGCCTTAGAGTCTCGGTCCTCACACCTCTTTATCTCTATTCACTCCTAGGTGATCTCACCCACTCTCATGGCTTTAAATACACTTTATATGCTGACTACTTCCAAAATTCCATCTCTAAGCCAGACCTTTCTTCGGAACTGCAGACACATATATTTAAGTGCCAGTACAAGTAGCTGACATCTTTACTTGGAGGTCAAATAGACTTCTGAAACATCCAAAACAACTCCGTCTTTCCCCCCATCCTGTTTCTCTTTTCCTACTGCTCAGACCAGAAACCTCTACTCCTTTTTTGCTCACCCCATATCCGATCAGTCAGGAAATGTTGTTGGCTCTACCTTCAAATTATACCCAGAATCTGACCTCTTTCCCCCAACTCCACTATTACCACCACATCCAAGCCACTGTCATCTTTTACTTGGAATACTGCAGTGATGTCCAAACTGGTCTCCTTATTTCTACCCTTGCTCTACTATTCTACCCCCAAGTCTATTTTCAACAATAGCCAGTAGAATGATGCTTTTAAATATAAGCCAGATCATGTCACTCCAATCAAGATGAGAGAAGAATCTGATGCTGTTGCCCCTGCTGGCCATATGGTGTATCAGCCAGTTGTGACTGCAATTAAAAAGTAGTCCTGAATTGCCTGTTGTTGAGGTCACTGGGCTATGGAAAATTATGGAATTAGTCTCCTTACTGTTTGCTACAGTAGCTCTATAATTTATTTTATGGTATAAATCCACAACTACTTACTTTACCGTTTATAACTCTTTATCCCCTTTTTTTCTCTCAATAAACCCTTTTGGCAGCAATGAGATTTTTTAAAAAATCAAACCCCAAAATGAAAATGTTTAGTGAAATATTACACAATAATTTTCTATTTTTTAAGAAAGCTGATGGTGAAAGTGTAATTCCTTAGATCAATCGATCTATCTATCTATCTATCTATGTATCTATCTATAAGTAAGCTTTACACCCAATGTGGGGCTTGAACTCATGACCCCAAGATCAAGAGTTGCATGCTCTACAGACTGAGCCAGCCAGGTGCCGCTCACTCATTTAATTCCAAAAGAAGGTACCTTTGAATTCTCGTATGTCTAAAAAAGACCTCAGTCTGCTCTTACCTTTGATTAACAGTTTGGTAAGATACAGAATCCCCGGTTATACATTATTTTCTTTTGAAAAGTTGTAGGTAATGTTTTATTGTCTTAAAGCATTAAGAGAATTACTGATGACAGATTTGAATTTCAGTGTGATACTTGTCACTTTGTACATGGCTTTCCTCTGGATCTTTTGTTTGTCCTTGGAATTCAGCTTCCCAAGGAAGTAGTACATTATGATATTTGATTCACTATTTCAGCACTTGCTGTGCCCTTTTGACCTGAAAACTTGTGTTCTCTTATTCTTGTTTAATGGGTATAGTATCTTCCTGCAGCCCTGAGTACATCAGAGTTCGTTTCTTGATGAGTTCTCTCTGATTAGTTCTATTTTCTCCAGTAGCAATTTTTCTGATTATCTTAGTCTCTCTTTCATACCATCCATTTTCCTCACATTCCTGGTGATCTTGGTTGCTCATTAGTATTTACATCTGAATGACTCATTAGCCAACACAGATTTCCTCTACCATTGTGGAGATGGTCTGATTTTTGGCTAGACTGCTCTCCTAAGGAGGACTCTGTGTGGGGTAGGTACAGGCTGACTGGCAGTATTCCTTTAGGGTGCATGGGTAGGGAGCCAGCAGGCCCTCTAAATGCCAGAATGATGGGAGTTTTTCTTTTGTTCTGGAGAGATAACTTGTACTCTAGAAGCCTTAGCTTTTCCCAGTTTCTCTAAAGGAAGTCTGTTTGACGTTTCGCTTCGGGTTCATGCCTGCTATCAATAGTCCAAGTGCAGGGATAAGAGCAGTATAGGGAGATGAGAGGGTAGAGCTGTGCCTTCTAGTACTTGAACAGAGATCCAGAAATCTGTTCAGTTATCACTCTTTCGTAGTCTTCCTACTTATTGTTATTGGTTTCTTCATTTCTTATTTCTATACATTTTATTTCAGTAGGGCATCAGGAGGGAAAAAGGCAAAGACAGGGTTTGGTCCGTCTTGGAAATCTTACACAGATTTAAGAACCAGAATCCAGTAACACTTTTATCATTTGCATTATGACTATGAGAAAATGTTTTGAATACTAGAAAAACCAAAGCATGGTAGAAGGAAACCTTCAGAAGTCATACATTTATAAAGGATTTCCTTATACTGTAGTACAGGCAAACCGATAACACTAAATGGTGTTTATTAAAAAAGCAATCCTTCTTTTAAGCATTCCTTAAAAACATTTATGTGCTAACATTTGAATCATCTGTCAGCTATAACTAACATTTAGAGCAATTAAAATGGAAATATAAAGATTTTGTCTCATCTTTGAGAAGTGCCCTTCCTCCATGACTCAAATGAGAGTAAACCTGCTTATGGAACTAGACTACCATTATGATGAGACACATGATGGGAAAGTAAAGAAAAATGAAAATAAAAAACTTTCATTAACCTTTATGCCCAGATTTTGTTATCTGATACCACTCCTTACTAAAAGCAATGACAGCTTCTTAGAGAAATGGATTTCAAGTCTAGGGCCTTGTTATGCCAGAAAATAAAGAAAATTTTCAAATATTGATGAGATCATAATCCAGTGGATCAAAAAAGCAATAGGATATAGAGAAAATGAGGTTGGACACACTGGTTATTGCTGAAGCTGAAAGGTATGTTGAAGGTTCACTATATTATTCTCTATACTTTTGTTTGTTTGAACATTTCCATAATTAAAAACATAGTTATCATAGCAAAAAGACACAAGAATCAGCCTGAAAGGTCCTTTTCCCCATAAGTCAAAGTTGCAAGAATTATGCCTGATGTTGACTGAAACCATAAAAATCCATGAGTCTACAATGATACTCAAAAAAGAGAAAGCCAGAAAAGCAAATCAAAACAAAACAAAACAAAAACCAACCTTATGTCATCTTCTGACTGAGCTGGTTAAAACTGGTAACTAAGTGAAATTATCTATCTGGCCTTTGCAAGAGAACAAACCAATAGCCCCAGATGATAAAGAATTCTGTTACAGAAAAAGGGTGGCTAATGATGTAGAAGAAAAATTCTAAATATAACAGAAAATTAGCAAAAATTAGCATTAGTATTATATTCAGGTATATGTTTGATATGGACCTTGAGATTCATACTGTGCAAAGTAACACCAAATACATTATTTTCTAGTAGCAAGATAAATAAGCTGAAACTCTACAATGAAGGGATCAGATTCATTACCCTAATCCAGTGCTCAAATACAGTCTCAATGGTGACTCATCCAGATACTTTTTTTTTTGATGAGTTAAAATAAAAAGTAAATAACCTATCATTTATCCCAGCCAAAAATGTTTAATATGGATCCCTGAGGCATTACAATTTGACTTTTAATTAATAGGAAATACAAGAGATAGAGGAACAAGTTAAATGCAGATGCAACCAGACACATCTTTTTCTTTTTTTAAGATTTATTTATTTATTTGAGAGAAGGAGTGAGCAAGCATGCACGTGAGTGGGGGGAGGGGGCAGAAGGAAAGGGAGAGAGAATCCTTAAGCAGACTCCCGCTGAGCACGAAGCTGGATGCGGAGCTCCATCCCAGGACCCTGAGATCATGACCTGAGCCAAAACCAAGAGCTGGCTGCTTAACTGACTGAGCCACCTAGGTATCCCTCAACCAGACACATCTAGAAGGCAAGACATCCTGCAGGAGAGCTGGCCCTGTCCCCTCAATAAGTCAGTGGTATGAAAAGAAGAAGGGTACTAGGACAGATTTTTTTCCCAAAAAGACTTATTAGGGCATATGACAACCAGATGTGAGACTTGGTCCTCCACTGGGAAATCTGACTGTGGATTTGAAGACAGAAAGACATAGAGAGACTGTTAATTGAAAAAAGGAGGCACAAAACACACATGGAATCATCTCACTTTAGTAAAACAACGCACACAGAGGTCTTTATTTTCTCATTTCCCATATCTACTGGGTTTTTAAAAATCATTAAAAGAGAAAATTAGGTCAAAGTCACTTTTGTTAAAATATTACAGGAAAGGTAAATTTTAAGTTTAAAAATGTCTATAGGTATTTAGTTTTCAAAATATGGGAGAAAGGAGGATGGAAAAAAAAAAGAAAACTCTGAGTATTGACATGTACTATTAACTACCAAATAGGTTTATCTAAAGGTAAACATGATAATTTTATTATAATGTTGCTCAAATTATAGAAAACTAACCAGAAACTTTAAAATTTCAGAAAGTAGACTGTACTGACATTTTGCTAGTACAATAACAACAGGACCTTTAACAGACCAAAC